TTTTCGGATATTCGTCGAGAGACCGAACGGGTTATCACATTGACTAGAATTAAAGGTTTTTTAAGTCACGGATGACCGGAAACCACCGAAGGCCAAGTCGCGGGTTTCACCCAACGAAATGATGAAGACGGATGTATATTATGGGGCTCACGCATCGTCGTTCCACCTAGCTTACGACCCCAGATACTCGCAGAGGTACATATAGCGCATCCAGGCATTTGCAGGATGAAATCACTAGCCAGAGATTATGTTTGGTGGCCTAAGATGGATGAAGATACTGACCGAATAGTCCGGACATGTGAGGTATGTCAACCGTTTCAAAGGAGTGCATCACCAATTCCTCGGAGTCCTTGGAGTTGGCCCGAAGATCTGTGGCAGCGGGTTCATGTAGATTCTTTTGGTCCGCTCGACAACTGCATGGTTTTACTGATGACTGATGCCCATTTAAAGTAAATCGAAAGATATCCTGTGCCCCACGCCAGTTCGGGGACTACTGTAAGTTGCATGCGTACATCATTCAGCACACTCGGTATTCCACAGACTCTGGTGATCGAAAAGGGTACTCCGTTTACCAGCGAAGAATTTAAAAAATTCGTCCAGAGAAATGGCATACGTCATGTTAGAACTGCCCCTTACCATCCAGCCTTCAATGGGCTGGCAGAACGAGCCGTTCAAACCGTCAAACAAGGTTTACTGAAACAACAATCAGGAATGATAAGGACCCAATTGGCGAGGTTCTTATTGTCTTGTCGTACAACCCCAACAGAAAGCACGGGAAAAAGTCCGGCGGAACTAATTTTTGGACGTAAACTACGAACAAGACTGAGTCTCGTTTACCGAGAACCAAGAGCTGACATCATGGAAAAACAAGGAAAAATGAAAGATAGATATGATGATTCAGCCAAACACAGGAAATTCGAAGAAGACGACCTAGTGTACACGAAATTACCACATGAGCCATCTTGGAATCCGGGTGTAGTGAGGTGCACTGACGGCCAGCAAAGTGGAATCGAGCTTTCGGACGAAAGAATAGTGACACGCCATAACGACCAAGTTCGTACTAGACATGTACCCGAGGATAAACCATACGAAACGACTCCTGTCATTGAGAATAATTCCACATCCCACCATGAGGACTCAGCACCTGAGCAGACTCTCCGCCGATCAAGCAGAGAATCCAAGCCAGTGGATAGATATCAGGCAGGATAAGGTCTAATCACACAAAGGGGAAAGGAATGTGACATGTGTCAACGTCAATTATGCCGTCGATCAATTCTCCGTCCCTTTCGCCGGTGCTTATCTCTCAGACGAAAATCAGTGTTTACCTCCTCCACATACCTCACGCACACAGACCCCACAACTCATTTTTTTGGTTGACCTGTTAGTCATTGTCTTATTGTAGATTGTCACGTGACGCATGATTCATTCAGTAAAGCTACGTGCTCTGCACTGGGCGTGTCTGTGCCTTGTTCTCCGGGCTAACTACGGGTTCGCTTGTTTGTGACTGTAACAGTATCCTTTCCCGTTTTTATGTAAGATAGCACTTAGCACGAGTTTACTTATCAACCCATTATCAATCATCTCGTTCAAGACAAAGACGGAATCAGTGTTCTGGTGAAGTTTGTGGTGGGAATCAAGCCACCACTGGAAACATTCGGTTTCAGTGTTCATAATGTTTATCCTCCATCTACAAATCACCCCCCCCCCTCCCAAACATACAGCACAACCAGGTATTCTCAGAATAAAATGAACTTAGTTGTACACAATAAAAGGCCACATGAAGTGGACCCTTCCCTTTTGTAGACATTATGATTTTGAATGATACTGAAAACAAAATGCGCACATAGACAGTATTGAGTCGGGACACAGAAATGAGGTGACTCGGAGGGGTGTGTGAAAAATATCGAAAACGGAACTACTATGGTGATAAAACACTCGTTAGCCAACTGTGAAGCTCAATCACTGCCGAAATGTGAGCTACTGAGTCGTAACCTTGAAAGGCGCACTTTAAATAAATGAGATCAATAACTAGTGACAAGTTTGCAAGAATGGACTATGAGCTATATCGCGTATAGCCGAACGGATACATTGAGATCTATCTGACGAGGTTCCGGGTTCACAATCCTTCGTCTGGTCGAGTAATTCGTCGCACTAGTGACCAGATTTAACTAGGTCGACATGGCTGTACAGTTCCTCTCAGCTGTCCCGATCCCAGCGCCTTTACTGCACTACAGACACAGTTCATTATTTATTAAACTGAACTTTCCATGACTCTGCTCTGACTATTTTTCATCGGCTTAGAAATAAATGGAAAATGTAAATATTTTGAAAATTACATGCATGAATCCACTTCCGTTTTTGTTCACTGTCTGAATAGGAACAGCATCTGAGTGATAACTCTAACGATAGACGATAATGTTTGCTCGATTTCAATCAACCGGATACAGTTATTTTTGTGTTGTACTCTGCATACCACTAGCTTTCCTCGTACACATCCACACACACACACACACACACACACACACACACACACACACACACACACAC